TCCTTCACAAAAGACCGTGCGGCCCCCACAATTTTGCATATTCTCGCGGAAAGTCCGCGAGAATGCGGCCACTGTGCCGCAATTAATCTACGAAAAAAGCCGACGTTGTTCTCCGGCATTCGTCTAGAATTTGTCCAACATTTTCCAACTATCTGCAAGCGAACCTCAAGAAATTAACGAACTATTTTTCCGGTGCCCGCTTGCCAAAATCCGCATGGCCGCCTGCCCCCGGCGATTATCTGAGATGGTAAGTTAATTTTTTTGGGCGAGAAATTGGATACTGTAGTTGCCAGATTGCTGCAGATTGCAACTGCGCGCTCTTAACGAAATGCTGCTGGTTTTTTGAAAGTGCCCTAGGGCTTTTCTGTCGTCGTTTTTTTGGGAATACTTTTACGACCTTTTCGTTGTGGGATAGTGGTGGAACAGTGTGCGCTTTGAGATTCTAGTAATAAAATAACGTGTCTCTCTTCACCCCGTTCTTTCGTCGAGTTTTCTTTGCAAATAGTGGACTTTTGAGTGAACTGTGGTATAGTTGCTATCAATTTGGTTATCATAAATTACGATAGCAACAGGAAGTTTACATAAACATACTGTTGGAAACATACTGTTAGTTTTCAGCACCAGGACCTCATTTAATCACATGCCCTTTAGTGCAAAATTATTAGGTTGTTACATAAGTCTTGTTACACTATAACTTTTACAGCGATAAGTCATACACTTTAGATTCTTTACACGGCTCTAGGGTACAATTCGATAGAGCAAAGCAAGCTCTACAAGATGGTATGCAAAGGTTTACACCAGCTTCGACACACCGTAAGTATGCATCCAAAAACTGAGTCGTACTGAAGGTTCAAAAAATGGCGGAAAATTCATATATCTGTTCAAAAAAGTCCTGCGAGTTTCCAACTTGCTCATAAAAAATGCACACTATATCAGTCACTCAAATGTACCGTTCTTGCATTTTTTCCTCATCTAGAAATCGAGAAAACGATAATTTTCTTGTTTTTACAAAAACGAAGCTATGCTGTTTCTAGTCATGTATTTGTACACTACAAGCCCTTAGAAGTATAATTGTACATTTTCAGCTTTCCAAAAGCATTAGTTTTCGAAAAATACCGAATTTAGCTCTTTTCACTCGGGTGTTCAATCCTAAATTTGGTATTTTTCGAGAACTAGTGCTTCTGGAAAGCTGAAAATTTACGATCACACTTCTAAGAGCTTGTAGTATACAGATACATGAATAAAAACAGCATAGCATCGTTTTTGTAAAAACAAGATAATATTCGTTTTCTCGATTTTTGGATGAGGAAAAAATACAGCAACGGTACATATGAGTGTCTGATATAGTGTGCAATTTTTATGAGCAAGTTGGAGATTCGTAGGACTTTTTTGAACAGATATATGAATTTTCCGCCATTTTTTGAGCCTTCAGTACCACTCAGTTTTTGGATGCACACTTACGGTGGGTCGAAGCTGGTGCAAACTTTTGCATACCATCTTGTAGAGCTTGCTTTGCTCTATCGAATGGTACTCTGGAGCCCTGTAAAGAATCTGAAATGTATGACTTATCGCCGTGAGAAGTTAAAGTGTAACAAGACTTATGTAACAACCTAATATTTGAAACCATGGTTAAATGGCTTGCTCTGGGCGCAAGGAAGGGCCACTGTTGTTCTAGAACTTTTTCGGTTCGGGGTGGTCTACGAAATCTCCAGTCAGAGTTTAATGATTAGGCAAACGAAAATCGTGTTGGCCATGATTTATGTCATGCGAGCGTCAGCGGAGTCTGGTATCATGAAGTTTTGTGTGGATTGTCGTAGTGGGCATAATTTACTAGCAGATATCTTAAGGCAACAATCGTCCTCCTATGGGAAACTAACCAAAAGTTCTGTTGATTGAATATATGCAATGCTTTTCAAATTAATGGTTGTTCTTTTGTTTTGACACTGATTGCATAAGAGTGTGAAGAGTTTGAGATCTTTTATACGTTCAGAATAAACAGTTAGAGTGTACCGCCATCGCGCCGCGACTGAAATCGCGTGAAGTATGCTCGGGACTTTCAATCTAATTGATGTATAAGTGCTTGCTGTTGCGACAATTCATTGTTGAGCTTTTGCCTAAGGTATATTTCGTACCAAGGCAATGATAGTTGGTGAATTGGGACCAGTTTTTCGTAGTGAGTAGTTCTTACACGAAACCATTATCCTAATGTTAACAGTACACCCACCTTTTTAGATTCGAATTCACACTTTTAGACCTTATGAGGATAGGATCTGATACCGTAGTATGCATTAAGCCTGGAATCTGGCAAGTAGTTTTCTTATTTTTGTTGCAAAAAGGTTTTAAGTCAATCAACTACAGTTGTTTCGGTGTATATGGTTCGGTTTTCAAGTTTGCTGATTGATTCCACAAGTCCCTAAAAGAGAGAGAGGTGTGTGTGTGTGTGAGATTTTGCTAGGCTCTTAGGATATGCTTTATGCGGATTCTGGTGAAAAATTTTGCTTTGACTGTGAGTTAGGGTTACTAACCAGCAATCTAAAGGTGCTAGATTAGCAGGCGCGCGCTTCGGAACCCGCAGAGGTTTCCCGCTATCTGATGTTTTTGAAGTGGCGTTACTATTTTTTATATATTACAACTTGTGACTGCGGCATTAGAGTCTCCCAGGCGTTCGAAAACAAGTTTTCTCTCTCCAAACTTTTCTATCGCAGCATTATTATGGTTTGGTTAGTGCCAACGCAATGTTCTGTATTTGATTACAGAAGCTGTGTGACTTGTATATGCTAGTTTCCGCTTGGTGGCGGCTTGTACGTGAAGAGATGCGGATTTGCTCGTCAAGTGAGCTAGATTGCGATAGTTGACCTTGCACGGTGTCTCTCAAGTGAGCTGAAAATCCATCTACAAAAGGTGAGTTATCGATGTATATGTACACTTGAATTTACATGCCTTTATGTGTCTAGGCTTTCGTCGATCTTTATTTCTCAACTATCTGTTTCACAAGGAAAGGCTCTGCATTCCAAAGAAAATGATTTCTTTTCAGTTCCCCGGCCTCCAACTTCACTTGATATTTTCACTCTCTTCAATTTTTTTGAATGTTCATTTCTGCCTTATATCTTCTGTGTTTCTTCTAATTACTCCCATGTTGTATTTGTTGTTATGACACCGACCGATTTCTAATATGTGAAATTTTTTTGTCTTATCTCATTTTTAGATCTCTTTTAATATTTTTCTCACTGCAAAACGAGTGCCTCTTCTGCTATCGTCTTGTTTATTTTTCATCTCATTCTCATTCATTACCAGAACTTTTGTCTACTATTTAACTAGTACAAATAAATAGTTCTATGTCTACTAGTATTCGCTTTCTACAAAAAGAGACCACGGCGGCTATCCGTTTTGTCCTCCGGAGGTATGCCGTCGACTGTCTGAGAAGATTGCTTGCGCTGTAAAGTAAAATCAAAGGATTATTATGGAACCCGCGCCATAGTAATCAATTAGCTCCATGTTCCTCTCTGAATGGACAGAAGAATTTTTGTTAGGCTAAGTCACAAGCGACTTGCCTCAGAAAATAGCATTGTGCGTCTGAATGTGGTTATGTGATTGTGGTTATGTTGTTTTAGCTGTTGTGTTAGCAATGAAGATATAGGCAAGCAGGATCAGGAGTGGGACTCGTCAAAGGTATCGTCTCATCTCCAGATTTGGTTGTCGAGATTTTTGCAATCAGAAGCCTTTCCGATCCTGCCTAACCCTACGCGGGTCAAAATCGCATAAATGCTCGAAAACTCCGTTTTCTGAAGGCCGCGAGAAAGCAATGTAGACCAGCTGTGCCTTTCACTCTAACCTCCGCCACAGTGGCAGCAGCGCCATGGAGATGGACATCAACTAGAAAAGCGTACTGAAACATGTAAGGGGGAGAAGTCGTGTGTGCGGACCAAGTCGCAGACCATTTTGAGCGATTCTTAGCGTAGAGAATCAAATCGGGTCGGATTTGTTATCACCTATTCTGGGGGCCGTATAGTAGAATATGTGGAGATCCGCGCGACGTCAATCTTGGTGAGGCACATCCAAACAAAATCACACCTTGCCTTCGCGAGAGAGTTGCGATATGCTCCTAGGAGAAAAAACAGAGGAAGCAAGAATGGAACGGAATTCTAAAATAAACACACAAAACGCGCGTCAAAAACAAGGGATGCTTTTGGTCCCCCCCCCCTCCAAACGCTTTGATGACAACTATTTTACAAGCCATGCATGCCATTCGTGCTGCGACTAAGAGACTTGAACCCTTTGCACACATTGTCCAAACAATTGCACACTCCATCTCCTTTTCCCAACTAGCAAATACAGAGGAAGCAGATTAGATAGATCACAAATACGAACTTGTGGCACACGATCAAGCATGCTTTGACAATGTGTGAAAGCAATTAGTCTCATAGTCACAAAATCTGTATAAATAAAGCTGAATGTCTGTTTGCCTGTGTGTCTGTGCGCACGTATGTTCCGAATAGAAAATTCCATTTCTGAACCGATCCGAACCAGACCTGCACACACACACTTGGGGGAGGGGGTGGGGGGAAGCAGGGGTGTCCTGCTACTTTTCGTCATGGATTGATATCGATTTCATCAGTTAAAGTTTCACCTACGAGGCTGGGAGTTGGCACAGTGGTAAGAGAGCATGCTGATTACGAAATATCACCCCTTTCATCTGGATGGAATCCGGCTCTCCCTTTCGTACCTGGTCTCCTCATGTGGATTTGCATGTAGCAGTAAATCTCTGACTGCGATAAGTAGTTTCAACTTAATATTTATAGTATTGAACATGTCGTACATGATATGCGAAACGTAGTTTATAAATCAAAGAGAAGTCCTACCCGTGATTCATAATTTTTTTCGCTTAGTACAACCTTTATAATAAAGCGTGAGTTTTTTAGTCAATGCATATCCGTGTACGGGAGAATGAATAATTCGTGTTTTGAATGCAATTCACGAAGAGAATTGCACATTGACTTTATTTAGCTACTAATGGCGGTTATAGGACCAATGTATACTTTTGGAATTTCATCGGCAACAATCTTGTTATTCTTTGCCAGTATTAGCTTAGGTGATTTTCGAATATTTAGCTTACTAAGGATGTAGATACGGTAATCTTTGACAAATGCTAAAACGAGCATAGGATCAATCAGCGGATGAAGGGCAAGAAGTACTCCAATAATGACACTAATGAACGGTGTTGTGCTGTGACCTGTGAACAGATAGAATATGGCAATGGCATATGGTATTTGCAGAAAGATTATGGGAGCAGCTGCCTGTAATTTATTATTTCTTGAATTGCTTATCAAATCCAATTCGCCAAAGAGATTGTGAGCTCTCGCTTGCATTACCTGTAATAGAAGCAAGATGAACATCTGGCGTTGCAAACTTCTTAATTTGTTTGAAAAGGCAGAACTGCGGAGTTGAGCATTAATGCTTCCTGCACAAAGTATATCTATCCATAATAAAATACCAGTCAGCACCATTACATTGAAAATCAAAGCCATATTCATGGGAGTTATGCTATGCTGAAAAAGGCATATGTGATTGCAGCGTAAAAAATACGAATAGAAAATGATCGAACCTTTATGGAAAATCCGATGAAACTAGTCCTTCCTAAGTCGAGTCCGAAAAATTCAATTGTTCGAACAAGCTCCTTGAAATGCGCACTTGGCCAAACAGTGACATAAATGGCTACTAAAACAGCTAGCAATACGGCTATGTTAAAAGAAATTGCTATGGTAGTGTTCCCTTTGGAAGAATAGCGACGAAAGACGTCTTCCCTGAATACAACTTAGCATATTGTATGGTTGACGAAAGCTTTTTCACCGGATATTCACCTGCACAGCTGCAAATATCGATGGAAAAATCCATTAGTAACGAGTAACAGTGTAGAAAAGAATGACATGCAATATAGTAGAAGTGGCACGTATCCCCAAGAGTGCTGTCCGACCCATCCAGTAGATATGAAGATGAAAAAAGATTCTTGCGACACAACTTTCTGAAAATCACTGTTGTCAAAGTTCCATTTATTGCGCTCGTATTTGAGGTCGCAGGTCTGTAGAGTTTGTTACAAGACCACTTAATAGACCACTGACCAGTTCAACTAGATTCCCCACCCTTCCGCCGTGGATACTGCATTCAGGATAACCCTAGAGTGCAATTTGGCCCACACTAGCCAACTCGCCCACACTAGCCAACTTGCGAATGTGAACCCCTGTATAATTATGCAGGATCGATGGGCTTATAACCAATCCTTTATTTGGTGAGACACTGTCCCGTTATAACCACCCTTCATCCCAGTTGACCTGAGATGCATTTAGAAGAACTTCCTAGGATGAACCGTATTCCGCCCATTCCCGTGCTTTAGATAGTCAGTTGAACAGTCAAAAGACTGTCCGGTCAATCGTCACAGTCAGTTTAACACAACGCCACTTAGCCGAAGGTAAATTTTAAAGTGACTCGAGGGAGATAGTATACAAAAGAGGAGAATCAGACAAATTTCCCGTTTTGCTCGTGAGTAACAATCTAGATGACGTACTGCTGCGGTGCAAAACTCCCAAAACAGCACAATTTAGGCGGCCTAAATGGAAGAGGATCAATGAACAGCTGATTACGGCGAGAAAAGCAAGAAAACGGGATTTCTTCTTTTTTTTTTCAGAGCTTGCTTACGTCTTTCTTTTGGAAACTGCTTGAAACTAGGGTTTCTTGATTTGTTCTATGTGTTTTGATTAAGTTTCGTTTTCCATGATGTCCACGTCAAAGTATGATTGTTTTTTTTATCCATTTATTTGCTTGGCGACCTTGATAGCGGTCGCCATCGGTTTTTCTCGACAGCGGCCGCTATCAAAGATTGTCCGGCGGTGGCGAAAAAATCTGTCACTACCCGACTTCGAACCATGGTTTTTCGCAGCCGTTCGACTAATTTGCTCAAGGGAATTAGCTTTTGGAAAAGCACAAGTTGTCTAGGTCTAGAAAGCGATCCGCATCCAGATCAACAGCTCACCGGATGCCGGACTGAGCGCTCTACGTTCAACGTAGGCTCGCTCCCAGCCGAGTTGCGCTAGAGGTTTACTATGGACCACTGCCTTTGACCCCCATGCTTTTGTCAATCTCAACTCTGTTCGTGATTCTGACTCCAAATGTGAAATGCATGTTGCCAAATTTTTGAGAGTAATCTAGGGCCAAAATTTTACAAGCGCGGAGGAATGTTCCTACAATAATGTTGTGGGATGCAGGACACCCATACTCTGGATAAAAATGTGTCTCGGAGCAACGTGCAAACTCATCCGCGCACGTGTGAAGGAAGCAGAAGGAGGGGGGGGGGAACTCGCGCCAAGACCGCACTTGGCGCTAGAGATACTACAATTTGAAGTCGCTCAAGTTGCCTTATTTGATTGATAGGAATTTCAAAGAATTTTCTCAATATTTGGAAGCCAACATTGTCTGAACGCTTGAGGTCTTCAGCTTAGTGTCAGCATCTTATAGGTGAAATCAACTAGGATTATATAAACGGACGTTCAATCAAAGCATGCGAGAAATAGGATTGTAGTCAAGTTCAGACATAAAACTTCGACCCAGAAAAGTCGTATCTGTGTTGAGTTGGAATTCAGCGAATCGCTTTCATGTTACAAAGTAAATTACTTGGGAAGATGACAATATTGCAATGGTCTTACACGAACCAAGAAAAATCGACGGAATTCTTCTCAGTTTGAAAGTTTATTCGATGTGAGTTAATGTAATCTATAACTCCATTTGAACTTTCAAAACAAAGGTTTATTTTCTGAAGCTCAAACTCAAGTTATTAGAGAAGTATTATTATGATTTGAGAACCTACCGGAACAGTTAAGATTAGCAGGACCGCAAAGATCGTGTCCTGTATAGCAGCCAATATGAAGAAATATCGGTATGAATTACCGTTTTTCAATGGACAGTAAAAATAGACAACACAGAGAAGGAAATTGATAGCTAAAGCTGTTGAGCAAATCACATAAGTCAATACAGACTGCATGTCGATTGTCGTGCTCATTTTGATTCTTAAAATATAATCTCTCAAACGAATAAAAAACAAACGCGGTGATTATGCTAACAATAAGATGAGTTTGTCATTGTATATGACAAGTTGGTAGTCATTTGAGTCGCTATATTTTCGTTTTGAATCTTTGAAGTTCGCACAGCCTCTCAGTTAATACCAAAGCTAGCTCATAAATTACAATTTGAGTGTAGATACAAGACATTAATTTCAAATGCATATTTGTCCCAAGTTCACGCAAACAATCTACTCGTTGGAGGCCCGGATATATAAGCAAAGCAGAACAATTTTAAGATATGAACTAGTCAAGTGTCAATCTGCTATGTGCTCCTAGAAAGGTTTGAATTAGATGTTAGGCGTCAACAATTAGGTGTCGGTTATCGTCGGATAATTGTTCTGTGCCTTGGCAAAACATAAGCCTAGCTATGTCTACCTCTGATGTGCTTCAAGAATCACAAAATCTGCTAGTTTCGCTATCCGTTATGAAAAACTGACTTCGGACATAGACATATTGGACACAAACATTTTCCGAGATTTTGACAAGAGCGTCCAGTTGACATTTGATAAGTAGATTCTTCGTTTCTAGGGAAGAATGCATTGTCGTGTATTCACCCTCTCAGGTGAATAGACGACGATGCAATAGTCACACGTCAAGAAAAGTCAGTTACCTGATACAGTCCTGACAATGGTAGACCGAGCGATATTTTTGCATGTTGCCTATGTGAGTTATAATATTGCGCAAGTGTCTTGTTTTCACTTGTAAATAATTGATTTTCCAACTTTTGAAATCAAAATTTTCCTCGTAAAAACCTCCTTTTTTTGTAAAGATTTGGAAGTATGCTAGCCAAAATTTGGAGAACATCGGAAAACTTTTTCCGGAAGAGTTTTTGTCGTTCCCCTCCCCCCCGAAAAATATTTTGCCACTGAGTTTTGAGCAGATCAGATCTACTCCAAATATGTCGTCGTAATTCAGGTGCCTATTGATCTGACAAGGGAGGTACTTTCAATGGCCGTGGCCTTTTGACATGAGATGCATTCATCTGAGCTTCGAACGCTGATTTTAAACTGCTTTTCGTTTTTGCGAAGCGCTCTTCTATAAAGAGTTATGGAAGCCTAAAAATCCTATTTTTGGGACGCTCCTTGAGTTTGAGAGCGCTGCTGTGCGTTGGTGGTGCAGTGGCGTAATGGTTAGTTGTTGACATTGAAGGCGAGAGGTCGGTGGTTCTGAATCCGGTTCAGAGCGAACCTTGCACTATGAATGTGAGTTTAAAAACCGCGTCAATTCGTCTGCAGACATTTACTGTAATGGCCTTGGCAAATGTGAGTCAAGAAAAAATTTTCTGGCATAACTGCTTGTAATGAGACCCTGAAACTCCACTTGACTTCGTTACTAGTAAAACAGGACCAAACATGGTGAAGCATGTTCATCACCACATAAATTTATGTACGTACAGGGTGAAGCGGAATTACAAAGTGGGCAAAACACAGACATTTCTCACAATGGGAACGTATGAAGAAAACCTCCGCGCAATTTTTATGCTGGCAAGTACCCATTAAGTTACTAGGGAAGCAATATTGGAGTGGCGTTTCAAATGCACCCAGATGTTCATCGAAATACCCGCTCGCATACAAAGAGTATGCTAGAAAATCTTTGTAACGAGGAGCTGAAAATAGATGATATATCAGCGACAAAAGCCTCATAGAATCGCGGCTGTGGACTACGAAATCCAGATCGTGTGCGACCACATGAGACACGAAGCGATGTACATCACTTTGAAGGCAGAAAGAAGTACACATCTAGGGGCTGTATGCGATACGTTGCGTAGGGTGGAATATTTAGAATTTTCAGTTGTTTTTCCGGTGGAACAGCAGATAAGCCTCATGGTCTCTAACTGCACCCCAGGAATCAACGATCTAAAGCTGGAATTGCACGACACTGGCATGGCACAAGTTCGAACCCAATCGAGGAGCAGGCGCTTGGTCATCATATGAGAGGTATTTGCCCGAACCTCCAGGTTTTGCGTTCGGGGGTACCCCTTGTCCGGAAAGGCTCCTTGCGGCTCCTATATGAAAATAATCTTGTCATAGTAGATTGATGAAATCTATGTAACTAACTTGCATCATCACAAATAATTTTTCACCTAAATGCCCATCGGCGTACAAAATAGGCATAATTGTGAACGAGTGAGTCGTGGATGCCGTTGACTGTACAACTCGTTCGACAGGTTCGACAGTCTTCACACCTCTGGGCGATAGCGAGAAAGCTGAATAGACTTCTTTCAAGATTCCACTCTTTACATATGCTACCGTGAGGCCAGCTCCAACTCTGTATGGGTAAACATCATCTGTGTATTTCGATGTTGCCAAAAATTACCGCCCTTTACCAACCGTACAAACGCTCAAGCTTCAGACTTGATCTTATCATTTTTCAAAAAGTTTCTTCTCGAAACAAATTTTGTGACGCGTCGCGACACTACGCCATCCTTTTTCTTGAAGCATTGGATCCAATTATGGCTGGCTTGAAAATTAGTCAGAAACGTTTCCTCCTGATTTAATATCAAGGCGATTTGACGAATGTCTCGATCATGGAGACAAACTCCAGCACCAAACTTGAGCACCGCCTCTTTCACTTTTTCTGTTAGAGTAATCAAGCGCAGTGTGCGGTCAGTTTGAAGTTGAACTAATTTGATTATTTCTCCGAAACTTCCCTCTTCACTCTCTTCCACCAAATTTTCTTCCTCCGAATCTATGTCCAGTTCACGCCATTCGGCTTCTCCTAGAATAGCAACAGAACTATTAATTATTTCCTGTTCTTTTCGTGATGGTGCGCGAGTGATCTGGCAGGAGCCGAATTCCTTCAACAGGGTTGTGAGCAC